ATTAGAAGTAACTTCAGTCTTAAAAGGGAGTTACGAATTTTAGGCCTAGATCTGTAACTAAACCACCCGGGGCATCTAAAACCACGTTTTGGACCTATTATTGTAAAAATGAAAGCGGACTGGATTAGAATTATCCTTAAGAAGTCCTAAGCACTGAATTTCGGTTTAGGTGATCCGTTCCTCCACCTATGTAATACAAAATAAAAACTTATAAATGACACAAAATTTAACATAAGCTCAGTCTGTATCAACTTCATTTAAATGCTTTTATTGCGATTGTACTTAATTCATCAAAGTTCGGTTTTACTCATGTTCAGGGGGCCCTTGCTTTTCTGGTATCCCAAACACGTACTTAACATTTCTTAGTATTACTCTAGTTTCACATACGATCCATTCCAAAGCTCTGCCAGTTCTACATGCATTATCTGGATGGATTTTATCCCTTACTTTCTACAGCTGCTTCAATCTCTCCTTCCGGCACCACAGCCCTTGTAAGTTTGTTTGTTTTTTCTAATTTAAAATGCTCACCACCATCACCTCAAGATCACTTAACTCCTGCTTATCAGTTCAAGTGTCATTTCCTCGGGGAAACATTCCTTAGTTCTCCAATCTAAATCAAATTCTTTCTCATGTGCTATTCGACTCATGTTCCTTTTATCTTTCTTTGCTCACTTCCATTTGCTGTTTAAAACAAACAAACAAGAAAACCTCTTGGAATTTTATTATGTGTAAATACCGTTTAAGTGCTCAGAATGGAAACTAAAGAGAATTGCAAAACACTTTACATAATTCTATTAGGAAAGTGGTGGCTGTTTCAAGCATAACAAAACAGGGTAGGAAATGGTTTCCAAGGGAAGTAATAACTCTGGTAAAAACAAACATTAAGATCACTTCCAGTTTTTTTAAAATTAAATTTATTAGGGTGACATTGGTTAATAAAATTGTTTCAGGGATACAATTCTATAATATGTCATTTGTATATTGCATTGTGTATTCACCACTCTAAGTCTCCTTCCATCACTATTTATCCCCACTTTATCTTCTTCTACTTCCCTCTACCCCCTTTTTCCTCTGGAAATCATCATACTGGGTTTTTTTGTTGTTGTTGTTTGTTTTTGCTTAATTCTCCCACCTTTTCCACCCAGCCCCCATACTCCCTCCCCTTTGACAGCTGATCACTTCCAGTTTTAATTCTACTTATCCCCATTGTATATTCAAAGATGATGACAGTCATCATCCACATAAAGCCAGATGTAGGGGGAAAAAAATCAACATTTTAATTCCTATCCCTTCAGTACTGCAGCCTGTTGCTATTGAGGTTTTGTCCATTGGACCTAAAGTTAATTAAAAATTTTTGTTCAGTGGGTCTGCTGCTTCCAGAACAGTCCTGATTACTACAGTTATGTTTCCTCTGCTCAAGGTCACACTTCCTGATTTAATGAATCATTTCTGTGCATCTTGGCACTTTTTTAAAAATTGTATTTTATTGATTATGCTATTACAGTTGTTCTGACTTTTCTCCCTTTGCCCTCTCCACCCAGCACCCGCCCGCCACTCCCTCAGGCAATTCCCTCATCATTGTTCATGTCCATAGGTCATGCATGTAAGTTCTTTGGCCACTCCATTTCCTATACTGTACTTTACATCCCCATGATATTCTGTAACTACCAATTTGTACATCTTAACCCCTCACCTCTTCACTCATTCCCCTACACCCACCTCCCACCGACAATCATCAAACTCTCTCTGAGACCATGATTCTGTTTGTTCTTCTTGTTTGCTTAGTTTGTTTTTTAGATTCAACTGTTGACAGGTATGTATTTATTGCCATTCTATTGTTCATACTTTTGATCTTCTTCTTTTTCTTAAATACATCCCTTTAATACTTCATACAATAATGGCTTGGTGATGATGAACTCCTTTAGTTTGTTTGTTTCTTTGTTTTTCCTGGGAAGCTCTTTACCTGCCCTTTGATTCTAAATGGTATCTTTGCTGGGTAGAGAAATCTTGGCTGTAGTCCCTGCTTTTCATGACTTTGAATATTTCTTGCCAAACCCTTCTAGCCTGCAAAGTTTCTTTTGAGTCATCAGCTGACAGCCTTAGGGGAACCATCCTGTAGGTAACTAACTTCTTTTCTCTGGCTGCTTTTAAGGCTGTCTCTTTATCTTTAACGTTTGGCATTTTAATGATGATGTGTCTTGGAGTTGGCCTCTTTGCATCCATTTTATTTTGGACTCTGTGCTTCCTGGACTTGCATGTCTATTTCCTTTACCAAATTAGGGAAGTTTTCTTCCATTATTTTTTCAAATAGATTTCCAGTTTCTTGCTCTTTCTCGTCTCCATCTAGCACCACTATGATGCAGATGTCGGACCTTTTAAAGTTGTCCCAGAGGCTGCTTATACTATCCTCATTTTTTTGGATTCTCTTTTTCTTCTTGTTCTGATTGGTTGTTTTTTGCTTCCTTATGTTCCAAATCATTGATCTGATTCTTAGCTTCATCCACTCTACTCTTGTTTCCCTGTAAGTTGTTATTTCCATTAGCATATCCTTCATTTCTGAGTGGATCTTTTTTATGCTGTTGAGGTCCTCACTAGGTTCCTTGAACATCCTTTTAACCAGTGTTTTGAATTCTGCATCTGATAGATTGCTTATTTCCATTTTGCTTGGTTCTTTTTCTGGAGTCTTGATCTGTTCTTTCATTTGGGCCATGTTTCGTTGTCTCCTCCTTTTGGCAACCTCCCTGTATTTGTTTCTATGTATTAGGTAAAGCTGCTGTGACTCCCTGTCTAGCTTAATATAGTAAGTGTCCAGTAGGGTCCATTGGCACAGCCCCCCATTTCACTCAAGCTGGGTACTGGAGGTGCACCCTTTGTGTGGGTTGAGTACCCCTTCCTCTTGTAGTTGAGCCATGATTGCTGTTGGCAGGTAAATGGGGAGGTATTTGCCTAGCCCAGTTAGCTGCCAGGACTGGCTGTGACTGCTGACTACCAACCTCCACCCTCTGTGGAGGATCAGCTGTGTAGGGGCAGGGTGATGGTGCTCCACTGTGGTCTGTAGCTGTCCACTTGGTGAGCAAGTTCTGGGGTTTCTCAGGTGGTGGAGGCCAAGATCAGAACCCCCCGCCCCGTGTTCTGGCCAGGCCCACCCTGCCTGAGCTATAAAGCAACCTGAGATGGCTGCTACTTGCGCTGGGCTTGGAGATTCCCAGGCAAAGCCAAACTCTGAGTATATGCTGGCTGCTGCTAGTGCCAGGCCTTGGACCACTTAAGTTGTACAGGGGTTGAAGACTCATTGAGGCCAGCTGTTGCTTGTTTGAGAGGATTCAGGGAGTTGTGAAACATGAGCCAAGACCAGCTCATAGGGAAAAGTCACTGTTAAGAGCTTGGATGGGCCTGAAAGTTGGGTGGGATGGAGTCTTAGGGTATCTCCAGGGCAGGGCAAACAGTGTTAGCCTGTTGATGAGTCTCAGATATGGCACCCACCTGCTGACTCTGTGGCTCTGTGGGTGGAGGGTTCTGAAAAGGAACAATGACCTCTGCTCACCTTGATGCCAGACACTTCACTTCCTTTCTGTATAGCATTGGTGCCTTTCAAGCTGTGGCCCCAATGCTGGAGCTCAGATGGAGTGAGTCTGAGTAGGTGAGCCCATGTGTGGGTTCAAGAGGAACTGCTTGGGGCTCTAGAAGTTTCTCCCACCAACTTAATCCCCACTGGTTTTTGCAGCCAGTTATGGGGACTTACCTTCCTGGCATTGGACCCCTGGGCTGGGGGGCCTGGTGTGGGGCTGGGACTCCTCAATCCCAAAATATCGCTCCTAAATTTTGGGACCAGCCTGTTCTGCATCTGTACCCCTCCTACCAGTCTGGATGGATGTGATATCTTTAATTCTGTAGTTGTCAAGACGTCTATTCAACTCTATTTTTGACGGTTCTGAGTGATGGTTGTTCTATATTTTAGTTGTAATTTTGATGTCGTGCAGAGGCAAGCCATTTGTCTACGCTGCTGCCCTCTTGACCAGAAGTCTGCATCTTGGCACTTCTGTTCAAATCTTTTCATCTAAGTTTTATTGTACCTCTATTATCAGTCAGACACATTGGGCGACCCTTCCCAATAACTTCATGAAACATCATAAATTGCATTTTAAATAAAATATTTGTGTACAGTACAGTACATGCTTCTACCTAGTTATTAATGAGTTTTCCAAATTGTGCTATGAGCCATTCTACAAATCATTTAGCAGGTTTTTCTGGACTACTCTGCTTGTACACTACCTACTCAAAGCTCAGGACAGAAGAGCTTTGAAAACTGATGGTAGAACTCAAGAGTTGGGATATTTTAGTTTTAGTTAATAGTTAATGCATGTGAAAAGCTATTTTTTCAGGAACTGAAGGTACTGGCCACCCTGACTCCAGACCACAAGCAATTTGACCTTTGTGCTCCAGAAAAAGACAATAAGCAATCAAGATGGTATCTTTGTGTTACAGGTAGACATCCCACTGCCCAGTAAACAGATAAAGGAAATCACCCAAGACACAGGACCCAGAGAGAAAATCATTGGTCAATGGATGACAAGGATGTTAGGAAAATTGCTGGACTGCAGCTTTTATCTGATAAACCTCTTTATTGAATTCCAAGCCCCTTACCTACACTTTTTTCCCCCTTGAATTCCAAATCCCTTGTCTACACTTTTTCCTCCTTATAAAAAAGGTGGCTTCAAAGGAAATGTAAGACTGTCTATTAGGGTATATAACCTACTGTCTTCTCAGATCGCTGGCCATCTGAATAAACCTTCCATAAAGATTCAATCCGTCTCTGCTCATTGGTTCTGGTAGTGACAGACATCACGAACAGTGACTTTTCTGGTTTCAAAACTTCTGAAGGATTCAGGGATGGAGCAGAGCACCTGCCTAACTTTGCCTAGCTAAGTGAAGAAAACAATAATTGCAATCATTTATTGAGTGTGAATTATGTGCCAAGCTCCAGATAAATGCTTTATCTTCAGTTTTATTTAATCCTCACTACAAATGGCATTGTTTTGCAGATTATCCCCATTTTAAAGATGAGGAAACTGAAATTAAGTCAGGTGTCTAAGTTTACAGAGCTAATAGGTGGTACAGCTGGAGAAGTCATAAACCTAAGATGATTCCAAAGCCCATGTTCTTTACCACACTGTAATGCTTCCCTCAGGGTAGAGATTACCAATCGGCCCTGGCCTGGCTCCAGGTGGAACCCCAGGTTGTTTCCCTAAAAAGCAGTTCTGAAATATTTGAAAGGTAAAAGCAAGCAAAAAAGTAAACTAGGGGGAAGCTCATCATTCCCCAGGCAATCTATCTTCAGGGAGGTGTCCTTCTCTCCTAATCCCATCTTTGATAAATCCCCAAAGAACAAAATCCTCTCCATTGTGTCAACTTTTGGGCACACACTTTATTGCACTTAATTTTTTTAATATATCCATTTCCCAAACTAGACATATTTTTTTAATCTTCATAATTATCAAGGCCTATCACATAGTAGGCATTAACAACTATTTTTATCTTCAAAGCATGGCCTTCATGAATACATATCCATTTTATAATATGAAGATGGTTGATATTCAGGCCCCACATGTATATTTTAAAGAGTAGAATTCCCAGGAAGCTCTTTTTTAAAGGGTGAGAAACAACTCATGTTCATTTTCAAAAGCAAGGTGACATTCAGGCAAGTGTGTCAGGTGGGCTGGTCATAACTGCTTTGCTTTTGTTTTCGTTTTTAGTTAAGTATGAAGTGACTTTTGAAAGACAAATAGCAAACCATATTTGCCTGCACACCACTCACTGCTTTTTCCCTTCATTTTCTGTCTTTATGAAAGCAGAGGGTTTATTCTAGTTCTCACCATCTTTAAGAGCCCTGGTCCACTGAACAATTTTTGATCCTGTAATTTCTGATCCTTCAGTTGTTGTCTTGTATAAAAGCTGTGTGTCGAGATTGAAGATCATCCACTATCTTCTCTTCTATCTCGATGCCTTTTTCTATTTCTTCCTCTGATAGCAATAACTTAGTTTCTGAACCTTTGGTTATAATAACCACAAAGGACCGTCGTGACTCAAGGATATTAGCCACCACCACTTGATGTCGATAAACTTCCAAAGCATTCCGTGCACGATCAATTAAGATGGAGGGATTAGTCTCCAACTTAAAGGAAATTATAAATGCTTTGGGAGCCCAGTCTTTAACCAAAGGAGAAAGCATTTTTGGCACCATCTTCATTGTTATCTGTGTTGGGGGGTGGAAAAAAAAGCTTCATAAGCAAATGAAGGTCACTACCTACCTGGTCAACCTCATGGGAAACTAAGGAAGCAGGGGCTCAGATTCTGACTATGTCAGTTTAAGTGCGATTTCTCACTGTCAAACTTTTCAAATTGTACTAAATGCTTAGCTTAAAATGCTTAGCTTACTTCTGTAAGGTTTGTAAAAATGTCTATCTTGAAGACTTCATACATATTCTCGAGCAAACCATGTCTTATGAATCAGCCCTACTCTGCCACCCTCGTAACCATTAACAGAACTCCAAAGAACAGCATTACACTTTCTCAAATGTCTCCCTTTATTTTTTTTAAGCCAAACCCTTAAATAAATACATACAATAATTTATTCATGCCAAAGTTACCTTGGCAGAAGCTCAAATAAATTTGGTTTTTTCAGCTTAGCTTAAAATATTTCTTGTACTAGTAGAATGGCTATTCAATTCCATTTAAAAATTGTCACTTGTAACACATCTTAGCACTTAGGGCTGGTTTTATTTTCATTTGATCAAAACTTCTACTCTACCATTCTCAATCACTACCAAAGGGAATGTTGAATTGTCCTGTATACTTCCAAGATACAACTAAAAAATACAAGATAAACTAAAGCTCCAAGAATTTAAATAACATGAAATCACTAATCATCAGCTTTTCCCTTCAAAAATCTAGAAAGTGTGATAGGGATCATATACTCGTTCTCAATTTAATTTTTCCTCTTACCTTTTATCACTACCTAACATAGTATGCATTTGACTTACTGTCTCTTCTGCAGAGTACGAGCAACACAAAGGCACAGTATCTTTTTTTCCCATGCTTTACCTCTGGGTGCTACAATATTGCCTGGCATATAGTAGGTACTTAATAAATATTTGCTAAAGAAACAAATGAACTATCCTACAAAGTCGGTGAGCGTCCCATATAGAGTTTCTCCAATTTAAATTCCATTTGTATCATCCAATAAATCACTAAGGTCTCCCTCAGGCTACAAGAAGCCAGATCATCTCACATCTCAATCACACTATTACACTCACCATACCCTCCTTAAACTACAGCAACCCCACCCCCCAAGCTAATCAACACACACCCTTCTCTAGTTTACCTTTCCTGCTGATGTCAGAATGTTCTCAAAAAAACAAAAAAACCAAAAACAACTTTATCTTTCTTCTACTTGCTTTCTTTGGTTCCACAGGATAAAAAAAATCCAAGCTCCTTAAGAAAGAACAGGTCTTCTGTGAAGTAAACTGTCTCTTCTGCCCTCCATTCCCAACACTCTCCCTGCTCTCCAGTCCTATCAAACTTCGGTTCATAGTCACTGCCCCGTGTCCAAACTTCTATTGTGTACTCTATCTGGAATGACCTTCCCCACTTGGTCTGGTATAGCCTCTGCTCATCTTTTGTAAAAGAAGATTTTTATTTATTTATTTTTAAAGAGAGGAACAAAGAGCGAAAGAGAGGGGTAGAATCATCAATGTGTATCCACCTGTCGTCTCTCGAATGCCCCCCAACCGGGGACCTGTCCTGTAATCTGGGCATGTGCCCCAACCAAAATCGAGCTGATGACCTATCAGTTGGCTCAACCCACTGAGCCACACCAGCCAGTGCCTGCACATCTTTTAAAACTCAGTTCACTTCATGAATGCCTTCCTTGACCTCCCCAAGAGTCACTTACCCCATGTTCTGACTTCATTTTGTCCGTACCTCTAACAGAACATTTATCATACTGTACTGTAATTATGTCTATGTCCAGTTCCTTCACTAGACTGTGAGCTCCTTGAGGGAAGGCGGTGTCTTACTCATCTCTGTAACCCTAGTGCCTAGCACATATGAAATGCAGAAAGGCCATCTCCAGATCAAGAGGGAATTAACCCAAGACTGGTTACAGCGGATCAGATCTCTAGAATAAAAGCGCCCATCACCTGCAGTGGGCCCCCAGATGACTGGATCTTGTGTTCAGGCATTTCAGAGACAGGAACATAGAAATCTGACACGGCCGCAGCCAGGTAAAACATCGCAGAAGGGCCTGCAAAGAGAAGCACAGGGTGTAATAAATCGGAGAGGTGTTTGGAAACAGTTCCTTTTCAACTCAGGCTGCCCTGCTGTGAGACCGGGGGGTAATAAGGGTGTAAAGGGTATATGCCTGGGGAGAAAGGCTCTGCCTCCCGGTAGTCGATTTACTCCTAAGGCACACACCTAGCGGGTTGAGCGCCTGGGCCGCAGCCTGCAAAAGATGCAAATAGTCCGCCAAAGTGGTGAACTCCACCGCCAGGAAGGTGCCGGCAGCCGCAGCCTCCTGGTAGCTCCGCAGAGCAGCTGCAAAGCCAGGAAGTGCATTCTCCTCAACCTCCAGTCTCAGTAAGCCCGAAGTGGCTGGACTGGAGGGCCGCAGAGCCGACAGCCAGGTTTGGGGAGGGAAGCGGTGGGCAAAGGGAAACGCAGAGCGAGCGCGGTAGAGGAACAGAACCCCATAGCCTGCAGCCAGGAAGGCCTCGGCCGAGGTTGCCCCGCGCCGCCCGCTGCTGAAGTTGTCCAGGAAACGCACTGGCCGAGCTTCGAGCGGGACCTTGGTGCCGCCGGACGTTACTAACACTACCCGTTTTCCCTGCGCGCCCAGCCTGGAGGCGAAATGAGCCATAACCTCGGCCGAGCGCGCAGCACCGGCGGGCTGGGGAAAATCAGCAACCAGGTCCGCTTCCGCCATGAGTCCCAGGACTCCCCCGCGCCTGCGCACACTCCAGCGCCGCCTGCGCCTTGTCCCCTACCCACCTGGTTTACGCGCCGCCGCAGTACGAGGGGGAGGAGGATCGCTATCCCACGTTGGGTGGCAGCTACGGATCTCCGTGTCTGGAAATACATGCTGGTTTTGCCCCACAGCCCGGAGAAACTGACAGTGAGCGGACGGGAGTTGCGTGGGCAGGCATCTGGAAGGGTCCCGTTTGCCGTTTCCTAGTTTGGGTAAAGAAGTGGCCATGTTTGATCCTTACCGGCTACCATATAGACCTTTCTGCACTTGAATTCCGCTGGCGCAAGATTGCTCATTTAACCTTTCGGTTGGGACGGGTGCGTTTGTGTTTGCGTACCTGGGTTGGGGCGTGGGCGTGTGTGGGCGCGTAACCCCACACACTTCAGATGCTAGTCAAGCCGCGCCCCTCGCTCTTGAAATCCTGGGAATACGATTGCCCCGTGGTGATCACGTGACACCGGCGTCCAGAGCTTTGTTGCCAGGCAACCGTCCTAGAGCCTGACACAGCTGGCTGCAAAATGAACGTGATCTACCCACTGGCTGTGCCCAAGGGGCGCCGGCTCTGCTGTGAAGTGTGCGAAGCTCCAGCCGAGCGGGTGTGCACGGCCTGCACAGTCACTTATTACTGGTAGGCCCTGAAATGTGGCCCCTAGGCACCTCCACTCTCTCCCAATCACCCGTCTGGGCCTAGGTTCTCGTCAGGAGGTTTAAAGACAGGACCCTAAGACTTCTGTGGTTTGCTTTCGTCCTCTTTTACCTAGTCGTTCATCAGCAGATGTTTTGTTAGCGCCTACTGTTATGCTATGCGTTGTTATAGGTGCTGAAGTCACTGAGGGAACTCGGCAGACCGTGTCCCTCGAAGAGCTAACAACATAATTGAATGCGACAGATGTGTTAAAAAAAAAAAATGCACACAGAAAACAAGATAGTTTCAGAGAGTGATAAATGTTATAAGGACAAAGGAAATGTGATGGGAGGTTGGGCAGACTGCCTCTCTGAGGATAAACTATGATCTAAACGTAAAGTACGAGCATCCTGCCATAAAAATGGCTGGAGGAAGAGTGGTACAGTAAGGCTCTCGGGGAGGAAAGACTTGCATGTGTTTGAGGACTAGAAGGAAGGCTAGTTTGGTGCACAGTCAAGACAGTGAGGGTTTGGGTAAGGTCGTGCTGCATGAGACCAGTTTTCATTTAATCAGTGTAACATCCCTTAACCCTTTGCTTTAGGTTAGACCCTATTTGGAACCTGAGATAAAACAGCTAGGTTACTGACTTCCAGAAACCCAGGTCAGAGCAGACGAGTTTGTTTAAAAATGAAAGTCGTTACAGTACACCGTCCATGACAAGTGCTGCCACTCAGGGGGTGCTACTCTCTGGGAAGCATTGTGATTAGCCAGTATCTGGAAGGGTTCTCTGAAGAAGTAACATTTGAGCTGAGTCTTGAAAAGTTAGTAGGAAATTGCTAGGTGAATGAACAATGAAGAAGGAAGGGTAGGGCATTCCTCACATCCAGGACTGGCTGAAGAGTGAGAGAACAGTTGATTGAGAGCTGGGTAGAGAAGGTAGTAGTGGAGGGAGCAGTCACTGGTTTTTAAATTGCAGTCCAGGACCCTGTAGCAGATCTTGAATAAGAACTAGTATTTTAAGAAAATAATAGAATAAAAATTATCACAGTAATCTTACTTTAGTTGTCTCTAGAAGCTTTACTGTTTTTATGTGGCTATGTGTGTTCATACTGGTAAAATGTATTTCGTATTATAATTTAGTTTTTAAAAAAAAAGGTTTGAAAATCATTCTGATAGGTAGGAGTAGGAGTTTAACCCAAGAAGATCCAGGTTAGGGCCAAACAGAGACATGATCTCAAAGCGTTTGGAATTTACCCTCTGGAAAGTCATTGATGATTTTGGCATGTTCTCATTTGTGTTAAGGTAACAAGAAGCAGTGTGGGAGATACTGATAGACTGGAAGGTAGACACTAGAGGCTGCATAATTGAGTGAGAAGTTGCAGTGCTTCTTCCTTCAGGCTGAGTTAGGCGTTCATCCTCCTTGTTCTCACAGCATTCTACATGTCCCCTATCCTAGCATCTAAGACATGGTTTGAAATCAGGTGTCCTATGGTTTATATTCCTCACTAGGCTGTGTGCCCCATGAAGGCAAGGATGGCATCTGTGTTTAGGTTGCTGCAACTTGATTGCATTTAGAATACAAGTCAGAATTTGTGACGGAAACTGCAAAGTCCTGGTTACCTCTCTACCTTCACTTCCCACCACACCCACCCCTTCTTTTCCTTGATGTAGTTTGAAAGACTTTCTTTTAGTTCTTTAGTTCTAATTTAGTCCTTTTCTTTCTACATTTCTTTGCTCTCTGCTGGGAACCTCCCCTTCATCCATGAATCTTCCTATTCCCTTTCATCCTTCAGTTCTCAGAAATGTTATTTCTTAAAAGAGATTTTCTAGAAAACTCAATCTAAGTACTCTCTCATTTTTCTTTCTCACATTTTTTTCACTTTGCCTGTACTTTTATATTTTTTTGTTTACTTATTTAATGTCTGTGTCTTTTCCTAGACCTAGTACCCACACATACTGGGCACTCAGTGATCATTTGTTGAATAAATGAACTTCTGAATGGATAATAAACCTATTAATCGGGGAAAGGAACACAGAGAAGGTGGTAAATGACAGATTAGGTTGGGGACACAGTTTGAGGGGCCTTCAGGCCACTTGGGAGAAATGGCTGGGAAACAACCTTAAGCACAGGCCTGGCACCCCTTTGCCTAATATGAGCATCCATCCATCTCTTCCCCCTCATCTCTTGACCTCTTCCCCATCCCCCTTCATCTCTCTAGCCAGAAGCAATTACTTCTTCCAGTCAACTCCTTTTGAAGTTACTTTGTACTGCACAGACAACTTTTATTTTCCTTAATTTTATTTCTTGGCAAGCATGTTATTTCAATTTTATTATGCTCCGTTACAATAGGATATTATGTGGAATATGTGTAGAAGGACTGTCATATGTATGCTATCTTTTGATCTGTTTCAGGCCTATCTGTGTATGCCCCACAATCTCCAGCAAAGTGTCTTAAAATAGTTGAAACTAAATATTTGATGAATGCATGAATGAATAAATGATCATTTCCTATGCCCTTATCCTCCATTATTTTCTTCCTCTTTTTCCCTTGCTTTTAATTCTCCTTAATGTCTTCTCTTCTTTTTACCCCCTTTTTTCTCCAGATTTCTATATCATTGTGTCCTGGAGATTTTGAGATTTTTCTATAAAATAAAACTCAGGGCATATTTCAAAATTGGGGCTTTACCACCCCCTTCTTCATAGGGTTTTCATGGTTGAATGTAAAACATCCAGCACTGTGCCTGGGACCAAGTTGGCACTCAAAATTTATTTATTTATTTATTTATTTATTTATTTATTCTCATCTCAATTTTTAAGAGCATGAAAGACAGTCAGGTTGAATTTGTGAAAGTTTTTGTTTTGGCAAAAGAATTTTTCCTGAGTATAAATGTAATTTATGCTCATTGCAGAAAACTTGAAGATACAGAAATTAAAGGAGGAAAAAATAAATCTATAATCCCACAACCCACAAATTAATAACCTGATATTTTGGTGAATTTTCTAATATTCTTTTCCTATTAATCCATTTAATGTATATACTATGTGTAATCTCATGCATATCTTTTTATATTGTTTCCAGGGAGTAGAACACTTTTTTAAAAAAGGAATTTTATAAAAGTATACAACTAAAACATTACAGACAGGTAAAAGAAGCTTCAGCAAATCATAGCATAAAGATAAGAATAATTTGCAATAATTTTTCTTTTTATTTAACATATGGGGCACAAATTAAAATGTCTTCATTGGCTGGGAAGAGAAAACAAACAATAAAGTGATATTCAATAGCAGGAAGCAGTAGGATCTGTGGTGAACTGGAGAATTAATGCCCTGCTCAAAGATATTCAAACTCAGTTTAAAAACATGATAATGGCCAAACAAAACATGTCTGGCTTACCAGCTCCTTGATTGTGAGCACTGATTGAAAATATATTTTTCAACTCCTTTTTTATGTATGGCCCCGATCTAGGGGATGAGACAGATGAACAGGGAAAGAGCTCACAAATATATAAATGACTCTCACTTTATTTAGAAAGGTAGGATAGGTCAAATGCTCTCAGTGAAACAAAAAAGTTCAGGTAGCTAAGTAAGCTAATATTTTCATTGCTCACACAATTATTCAACAAGCCCCTAATTAATAAATACCCTGTGGAACTCAACTATTTTTATATCCTGACTTTTGAGTGCTTTTATTGATTTGTTTACCATAATTGTCTATCAAAAAAAAAAAAACCTTAAAAAGGCTTTATGTCATCTCTCTGATAACAGTACCAGTTTATAAAGAAAATACTTTATTGCATTTCTATTGTCCCAGGAGGAAGAAAAGAGAAAGAGTGTTATGTGTTATTGTCTATGATTGCTTTCATGCTACAAGAGAAGCTTTGAGTAGTTGAAACAGAGACCATATAATCCTCAAAGACTAAGCTATTTACTGTCTGGCCCTTTATAGAAAATTTTACTGACCCCTGCTCTAGATTATTGTTACCTATTTTGGAATATGTGTAAATGGAACCAAACAGTTAACTTTTTCACTTTTAAGTAAAAACGTGTAATGGACAATAGAAATGCAAAAACCGATGATTATATGCATCTGTCAACAATCTTAAAATACCTGAAGCAGCTATGTGTCAACTTTACCTAATTTTTTAAAAGAAGGTGAATATGCAAAAAATACATGAAACAATAACTGTCATAATTGAAGGGAGAAATAAACAATTCAGTAATAATAGTTGGACACTTCAGTATCCCACTTTCAATAATGAATGGAACAACTAGTCCAAAGATCAGCAAGAAACTATAAGACCTGAACAACAGTATAAACTAACTAGACCTAATAGACATCTATAGAACACCATCCAA